TATGCTGCATACAAGAAACACATTTAACTTGAAAAGAAACTCATAGACTGAAAGTTAACAGGTAGAAAGCAATAGTTCCTGGGACAGGAACCTAGAGAAAATCAGGGGTAGGTATTGTATTTGCAGACAAAGTGAACTTCAAGCCAAAAATAATCAAGAGATACAAAGGTCACTACATGGTTGTTAAGTGAAAACTCCAAGAGGAAGAGATAACAATCATAAATATTTATGCACCAAATGCCAGCATACCCAACTTTATAAAACAAATATTAATGGACATGAAAACTCAAATAAGCAATAACAATTATAATGGGGGTCCTGAAGACCCCACCATCACAAATAGACAAATCAACTAGACAAAAAGTCAACAAAGAAATATCAGAATGGAACCAAACCTGTGAACAAATGGACTTCAGGAGATGTCTACATAGTGTTCCACCCACAACATCAGAATACATATTCTTCTCAGCTGAGCATGGGACATTTTCCAAAATACTACCTCAAAGAACATGCTTAAGTAAATGCAAAAAATTTGAAATTATCCCATACATATTATCTGACCATAGTGTGATGAAAATGGACATCAATGGCAATAAAAACAACAAAAACTACATAAACACATGGAAATATCTTCCTGAACAACCAATAGGTCACAGATGAAATTCAAGAAGAAATGAGACAGTTTCTACAATTACACAGTAATACTGACACAATATACCAGAGCTTATGGGATGCAATTAAAGCAATCTTATGAGGAAAATTTATAGTGGTGAATATTCACATCAGGATAACAGAACAAGTGCAAATAAATAACCTAATGTTGAACCTCAAACTTCTACAAGAAGAACAAGTCAAGCCCAAAGTTTGTACAAGGGATGAAATTATAAAGATCAGATCAGAAACTAATGCAACTAAGAGTAAGAAAACAATACAAAGAATAAATGAATTGAAGAATTGGTTTTTTGAAAGAGTAAATAAAATTGAAAAACTCCAACCAACCTTATAAAAAAAAAAAATAAGGAAAGAAAACACTCAAATCCATGCAATTAGGAATGAAAAGGGAAAAACTACAACAGATCCTGCAGAAACCCAGAAGATCATCAACACCTACTCTAAGAATCTGTACTCAAGTAAGATGGAAAACACAGAAGAAATGGATAGGTCCCCAGATACATATGAATTACCAAACCTGAGTCAAGAAGATATAAAAATTCTAAATAACTCAAAATCAGTCAATGAAACTGAAGACATAATTAAAAACCTACCAACAAAAGTCCAAGTCCTAATGGATTCATTGCTGAATTCTATAAGAAATTTAGAGAAGACCCTATGCTACTACTCCTCAAAATCAATGAAATTGAAAGGGAAGCAATATTCCCAAATTCATTCCTCAAAGCAAGCATTATGCTGATACCAAAACTAGAGAAGGATCCAACCAAAAAAGAGAACTATCAGCCAATCTCCCTAATGAACATAGACACAAAAATCCTTGAGAAGATACTGGCAAATAGAAACAAGAAGCAAATCATCAGGAAGATTACTCACCATGACGAAGGAGGATTCATCCTATGGTTTTAACGTATGAAAATCAATAAATGTAATACACCATATCAACAAAGCCAAGACAAAAATCACAAAATCATCTCAATATATGCAGAAAAAGCATTTGACAAAGTCTCAACACCTATTCATGATAAAAACCCTACAGAAAATTAGAATAGATGATCTTTATCTCAATCTAATAAAAGCCATCTATGACAAATCAACAGCCAACATCATACTAAATGGGCAAAAACTGAAAGTTTTCACTCTAAAATTAGGAACAAAACAAGGATGTCCACTACCACCACTCCTATTCAACTCAGGTCTGGAAACATTAGCCAAAGCAATTAGACAAGAGAAAGAAAATGCATAAAAATACGAAAGGAAGAAGTTAAATTATCATTATTTGCAGATGATGTGATACTCTACATAGAAGACCCCCAAAACTCCACCAAAAGATTTCTAGATTTAACAACTAAATTCAGTAGTGTAGCTGCACACAAAGTCAACACTCAAGAATTAATAGCATTCTTGTACACAAATAAACTCACTGAGAGAGAAATTCGGGAAAACACACCTTTCACAATAGGATCCAAAAAGATGAAATACCTAGGAAACAATCTAGCAAAGGAAGTAAAAGATCTTTACATTGAAAACTTTACTAAAAAAAAAAAAAAAAAACTTCACTACTCTGAAAATGGAGATCAAAGAGGATACTGGAAAAATGGAAAGATATCCCTTGCTCTTGGGTTGGAAGAGTCAACATAGTAAAAATGGCCATACTTCCATAACCGTTATATAGATTTAATGCAATCCCAATCAAAATACCAATAGCATACCTCACAGAATTAGAGAAAACAATCCTAAAATTCATTTGGAACCAGAAAAGACCCACAACAGCAAAACAGGCAACCAAAACAAGGCAGGGGGCATCACAATCCCTGACTTGAAATTATACAACAAAGCAACTATGATAAAAACAGCATGGTCCTGGCAAAAAACTCAGATGATCAATGGAACAGATTATAAGACACAGTAACAACTCTAAAACACACTCAACCACCTTATCATTGACAAAGGGGCCAAACTTCGACAAACGGTATCTTTACTGGAAGAAAGATAGCCTCTTTAATAAATGGTGCTAGAAAAACTGGCTTTCCAGATGCTGAAGATTAAAACTGGACCCATGTCTCTAACCATGCACTAAACCAAAATCAAAACGGAGCAAAGATCTAAATATTAAAACAAAAATATTAATCCTGCTGGAAAAAAGAATAGGTAAAACTCCTGAAGACACAGGTAGGCAAAAACTTTAGGAACAAAACTCGGATTACACAGGAAATGTTACAAAGCAGTAACAACTGAAATCTCATCTTATTAAGAAGCTTTTGCACAGCAAAAGAAATCACCAACAGAGTGAAGAGACAATCCACAGAGTGAAAAAAAATTTTAACCAGCTGTTTTTCAGACAAAGGACTACTCTCTAGAATTTATAAAGAATTTTTTAAAAAATCAGAGCATCCCAAATTTAAAGCCCAGTCTAAAAATGAGCATCTGAAATGAATACATATTTCTCAGATGGAAAGTAGCAACAGCAAATAAATATATGAAAAAAATGTTCAACATCATTGGTCATTCAAAAGAAGCAAATTAAAACAACACTGAGATTCCACATCACTCCAGAAAGAATGGCTATTATCAACCATGAACAATAATCAACCAATAACAAATCAACTAATAACAAATGCTGCTGGGGCTGTGGGAGAAAAGGAACCCTTTGCCACTGTTGGTGGAAGTGTAGATTGGTGTACTCACTGTGGAAATCCATGTGGAGATTCCTCAAAAAACTAAAACTAGAGGTTCCATTTGACCCAGGTAGTTCCCTTCTTGGTATCTTCCCAAAAGAATTACAAGCATCATACCACAGCAATATATGTGCACTCATGTTTATAGCCACACAGTCAGTAATAGCTAAATCTTGGAAAAAGCCCCAATGCTCATTGACCAATGAATGGATAAAGAAGATGTGATTTTTTTATACAATGGAGTAGTACTCTGCCATAAAAGAGGGTAAAGTTGAGATATTTCTAGGTAAATGGATGCTCCTTGAGACCATACTCTTCTTCAGTGAAATAAATCAGACACACATGTTTAAATCCCACATTATTTCTGTGGTGTGGGAAACCAAAAGTGTAAATAAGGACCAAAATGAATAGCAGATACTGTGAAATAGAAAGAAAATGCTCAAATGTGGAGGGACAAGGGAAGAGAGAGGGGAGAAGGGAAAAGAAAAAAACAAGAAAGCAAAAATTGTAAGAAAGCTTTGTAAATAAGGAGAGGAAGAGAGGTTGAAGGGAGAGGAGGGGAATGAGGGAAAAAAAGAATCAAGATATATCATGTACAGGTACAAATTCCCTATTGTGAATGTGATCATTATGTATATCTAAAATTTACCAATAAACTTAATTAATTATAAAAAAAGAAATGAGATAAACTCTAAGATCTGTGCCATGGAGATAACCAAAAGGCAGGACCCACAGGTAGAAAGGCTTTTGATTTGCCCCCAACTGATGAAACAATCAGGATGGAGAAGAAAATCTGCAAATAAGAGAACATCCCAGTAAGAGGGAAAATATCTAGGGAGATGGTCAAGCTTCAGGACTTTGGGCAGATCACAAAAGAAGTATGAGAGAAAGACAGTCTCAAACAGTCAAGGTTATGAGCTTAGGGCTCATGACACCAATCAACCAAAACTTCAAAGCCATTAATCAGATCACAGAGCTGGCAGTTTATGATGAAATGCAATGTGACAGATGGCCAGGAATAGCAGAGGTCATCACTCACAGGAATAAATTGTCCAGGCACCCAAACACAATAAAAACATAATATATGGCTAAAAAAGAATTATTTTACGCTCATCTTTCCTAGTATGTTTATATACAGATGATGTTCAACTTGGAGTTATCACTCAATAATCTCACGCTAAAAGCAAAGTGTACACTCAGTAGTATTTGATATACTTGACACATCACATATCTCAGCTTAGCAACAGGATGCCCTTGAGAGTCTCAGTTGCTTCCCCTGGTGATCAGGTAACTGGTTTGGACCTGTGCTAACTTCTGATCACAAGATCAAAATTCAAGATCCAAAGTATAACCAGGTATGGTGGCCCATATCTGTCCCATGTATGTCTCCAGTACTCAGGAGACTGAGTCAGGAAAATCACCTGAGTCAGGAAAATCATCTAAATCACAAGTTCCAGGCCAGCCTGGGCTACATAGTGAGTGGAAGCCCAGCATAAGTTACATACAGAGATGTTTCAAAAAAATGAACGAAACAAAGTATGTGTGTGTTGCTTTTGTGTAATCACAAAGTCAAAAATTTTAAGTTGAAACATAAATCAAGGACCATCTGTCCTTTAAATACTAAGAAATTGCTATATTCAAAACATGTCTTACATTCTTCAGGCAGGACAGAAGAATAACTCCCAAGATTTAATAACTGACTGGTAAATGTTGATTGAAGTACTGTCTCTCCAGCCCATTGATCCTCATGAACAGTGACATCTAGAGAGGGAAAAAAAAGTTCTGATCATGCCATAAATTCCTTCTCACTATGGTTAATTTAGCAATCACTTAGCAAAATATTATACGTAACCCCCACATGCCATATTGAAATGACAACAGGGAAGCTCACTGCTCTACTGAGGTAGTTTTAATGGTGTCTACTTATGTAAGGCAAGTGTTCTAATGAACATTTCAGATAAACTAAAAGTAAGTCTTTTAAGATCACGAAGCAAAGTAGTAATTCCCAAGCAGTAATGCTTAGAAAAGTAGTAATACTCAGCATGCATTGGTTCCTTCTGCCATAGATATATCTGAATATAAGGCAATCATCTGAATATAAGGCAATCTTTAAAGAGTGTGATAATTTTTCCTTAAACAGTATGGTAATCATTATCTATAGACATTAAAAAGGAAATACTTTGGAGGTGGGGAACATTTGCCAATGGAATAGAAAGACCTATATCATCTAAGATGGATAAAGCAGAGTCATTAAGTGGAAGTAAACATTCCAAAAGGTAGAAATAATTTCAGGTAGAGCAAAAACTATATACTGGGGAGGAGGAGAGAGATGCAGAGGGACAGGGAGAAGGAGAGAGGGAGGAGGAGAGGGAAAGAAAGGAGAGGGAGAGGCAGAGGGAGAGACCCAGGCAGGATATAATCAGTGTACAAAGTGTTTGTAATATAAAATATTAACAGTAGCAAAATAAGTTGGAGACAATGGGAAAGAAAAACAAGGATGCATAAATTACAGTGATTACTTCCAAATTTATATTTAGACCCTGTGCTCAGCTTCAAGCCCTTTTATTTACAACTACCTAACAAACCTTCCCATCTGGATATTCTATTTGCTCCCCCAAATCCAGCATCACCCAAACCTGCGTTCCCTTCACTTTACCAATCTCATCTAAGTAATTGAAACCTGCACTCACACTGCCTATCTGCCCACCCTTGGTCTCCAGTCCCTACTGCCTGCCTCTGCATGGGAATATGTCCACTGCTTGCCACTGCTACTGCTCTACATCACATGGCCCTCTCCTAAGGGCCCCTGGCCCCTCCCTGATGCCCCACAGTGCTAATGCATTGTTTACTGGGGTCATCAGTGAGGTCAAATTGTCTTAAAGAACACGCAGTGTCTCCCCACTGCCTAACCAGAAAGAGTGAACACAACTTTAAGACTTTTCATTGTGCTGCATGCGCAGCTCAAAGGTACAATGCTTGCCTAGCATGTGTAGTCCCTAGGTTCCATCCCAGTACTAAGAGGAAAAGAAACTTTCATCATCTGACTCTTAGAAGGTCTGCTTTTTAGAAGGAGCAAGTAAGAAATTTCAAGAAGAGCCTTCTGAAAACCCAAGTTGTAAAACCTAGGGTCAGGTTAATTCCTGGTAGCCTAGCCCTTGCCTCCTGATCCCTTCTGCCCATTCACTGCTAGGCCAGGATCCTAGCTCCTCTTGTCTGTTCCCTAACACTGAGCTTTCAAGGTATAGCTCTGGTCAGTAGGCTCCTTTATACAACTGTATTTACAGTCTCTCTTCATTCTGTTGCTAAAAGCATCACAGCAAAACTGTGTGACTAAATGGAATGTATCTGTTACACAGAATCTCTCTGTTTTGGGGTATATGTCAGCTCAAGGTAGTATGAGCTGTTTGAGATAGGGTATCACTCATTAAAATGGGATGCTACTCATAAATTTCTATGTACATATAATTCACTACTTAATTAAAACAATAAAGCAAAACAAAAATTTGACTTTTAAAAGGTATTCAGAGAAATAATCTAAATGTCCTATAAGGGGCTGGGGATTTAGCTCAGCGGCAAAGCGCCTGCCTGGCAAGCGCAAGGTCATGAGTTCGGTTCCTGGTACCGGAAAAAAAAACCAAAAAAAAAAAAAAAAGTAAATGTCCTATAATAGGAAAATGATTAAGTAAATTCCAATAAAGCCACTTGAGAGAATGTCACAAAGCTATGAACAACTGTATAGATGCTGATAGTGGTGTGGGGCTATGCTACAACCCTGTGTTCACCTCTGTATCACAGACTGACAATCCCAGAGAAACACCTGGATATGGCATGGTCCTCACTCCCCCTGCAAACCACTTGGTAGGACTCTGTTAGTGCACACAGGCTCTCTTTCTCTCAGCTTCTAATGCTAACTGGTACCTAACTACTCCTCTGTCATATTCTTTCACACATAGCTTAGTCAACTTCCTCCTAATGCTAATGTACTGTGCATTCACTTTAAATCAATAAAGAACATGTGACAGAATGCTGTATTTCTTCTGTTAGATGAAAAAGACAATGTTCCTTATTGCTATAACTATATAGTATGAGTAAAATTCTGAAGGCTGGAAAAAATCATGACTTTGCCACTTCCAAGATGTATGACAGTGTACAAGTTACTTTATTTTTCTGGGCTTCAATCTCCTCAGCTGAACAACTTAAATAACAAATAGGATTTTCCTCATATAATTGTTGTAATGAGACATACATACACTGCTTAAAATGTGGTCTGATACAAAGTAACTTCCCAATAAGTATATCAGTATGTGTGTCTATCTGTAACTATGTATAAAAATATGTGATAAATGTGACAAATATGATATGTATATATCACTTTTTTTATTTTGGGGGTTTTTGTTTTGCTTTGTTTTGTTTTGTTGAGATAGTGTCTCACTTTGTAGCCCAGGCTGACCTTGAACTACAAGCAATTCTCTTGCTTCAGCCTCCCAAGTGGCCTAAATGCTGTAATTACAGGTGTGAGCTACCACATCCAGCTCTATATATCACATCTGAAGAAGCACAAAGAAAATAATTCAAAGATAATAATCCAAAATTCCATTACTGGTTATATAAAGTTGGGAATAACACCAGGAGTTTTTCTCTTTCCCATATTTCAAAATGTGAAAGGGGGTAAAACTCAGACATACACAGACACAAACATAAATAAATGAAACAGAGCTCAGTGATACAACCCATGCAGTTCTCTGGTAAATGAAGAAGAGGAAACCCAGAGAAGATTTGTTAGAGGGGTGATGAGTGGAAAGGTGGTACAGAACAAGTAGGACAGTCAGAAACCCAGAAATGGCTTAGAGCAGGCAACAGAGGAGAAAGGAGACCCATGCAGGTGTCACAAGGGGCCAGTCTGGCTGGGCCCAGAAGAGGCAAATGACAGTCCTCAAAGGTTTAATGTGGGAGGAAAACAGAAAGCCACAGTTTTATGAGAAAACTGCTACTATACCATGATGGGCTCACCTGTGAGTAAAATTATATCTCCAAGAAACACAGTAAGTGCCCAGAATGCCTTGGTCCTCCACAGAACCACCTTCTTCTTTATTTCCGATTGATCGATGACTGTAATTGTTGCTAAAGGCACCACAGAGCCAGAATTTGGTCCAGATTTTATGTTTACTTCTTTTACATGACATGGAATTAGCACCATAACTAAACAATTATACTTCTGGCTTTTAGAATCACAATTTTTTATTAGTGATAGCTTTTTAACACCCTTAAATTCAGACACAACCCTCTGGTACCTTGCTCTGGCATAATCTCTTGCATTAGAACACAATTTCATCTTCTTAGACTCTGGGGGAACTTCAGATAGAGCTTTAGAATGGCCCAAGTTATCTTTGGAGGGCTGACTTCTTCCGACAGGAGTTCCGTGGAAGGTATTTAGTTGGGAGCACAGTATTCCTGAGCTACACAACTCAATATGTATCTCACTTGGTGCCAGTTCATCTTCGCAACTGAACAGTTCTTGAGATCCTGCATTTCCTTCCAGAACTTTTCCAGGGTCTATGTGAATGTGGCTACTTTCTGTTTCAGGGTGGACAGGACTAAAAAGTTCTAGGGAATGTGCTTGGTCTTGTCTACTTTCATGTCCTCCCACAAAATCTTCTTTAGGCTGAATCACATTATCTTCAGTCATTCTTACTTCCCCAGGCCCTGCCTTTGGTTCAGTCTCCATGTTTACAGTTCCTGTACTTCTGGACTTCTGCCTTTTCGCCTTCCTTTGAGCTAAGAAAGCAACCTGGCTGCAGGTCATGATGCTGAGAAATTCACTGGTCACAGAGATGTTAGGACTGGAGCCCTTCCTCGCTGCTCCTGCAGGCCCTGGCTCATCCACTGCAATAGAGGAGAGTAATTCCAGATGTTGGCTCTGTATTTCCTGATATTCTGTTGGCACACATTTGGTCTCTACAACTTCAGGTCCTGTATTGATGTGTTCAGTGCTAGAGACCAAATCCACCATAGCTGCACATTTGTGGCCTAAATGAAAGGACTCTGTCTGAAAGTTTTGACATGTATTTGACTGATTTTCAGGCTGTTCACCTGTGATTTTACTTTCACACTGAAGCTTCTGCTGTCTTCCTTCTTTAGGTAAATTCTGGGCTCTGTCCTTTAATCCTCTAATCTGTGCACTAGAGGAGGGCACAGCACTCAGGCCTGAGGAAAAAATCTTCTGGGGTTTTCTATCTTGTGTTTCAGAAGTAGAGTGCAGAAAACCATGTCTCCTCTGAACAGAGCTCACAAGATCTAGAGTGCCCACCCCTTCCAGGACTCTGCAGTCTTTCAGATTCCCAGGAGTGCAGCTGTCTTCCTGCACATGTAAAGCACATTGATGGTACAACAGCTGGATTTCCTCCCAAGGATCAGCTGTGGACATTAAAGAAGCTGTTCCCTGAGATACTGTCATTTTCAAGGGACCAACTGGAGCACCCCAAAAAATGTGGACTTGAGATCTTCCACTCATAATTTCTGATAAAAACGAAAAATCTCAAATTAGCTTTGTGTTAGATTTTTATAAATTGATATTAACTTAAGAAGGTACCAAAAGGAAATGTAATACAAACTATGAATCAAAAGCACAAGAGGTGATATACTTTGGTATGCCATTTAATTAAAGCACTTAAAATACATAAGAAATCATAAAAGTAATCCACATAGTGACAAAAAATATTACCTAAAGACTCTTTCAAAGAAATAAAGCTTAGACTACTAACATCAAACAGATAAATAAATTTTTTGTACACTCATTACTTGTGTTGCAAAATCTTGCCCCACTTAGATCACAAGTAAAAAATAAATACAAAATAAAAATAATAAATCACAAGTTAGTTAAAAAGGAGAAGAGGGGAAAGCATTCATTTAATAGATTACAGTCACCATTAAATTACCTGTTTTCTTTACTCCTAGATGATATCAGTAGGGCTTGGTCCTGCTTCCGTAACTGTGAACTCAATTCCCAAAACCAAAATAGAAGCTCAAACTGGAAGCAGAGAACGTAACAAAGGAAAGGATTTCTTCAAAACACACAAGTGACAACTGTATTATCTATTTTACGCCAGTCTGTTTGCACAATCACTTGTCTCTGTATCTTCTCATCTTTTCTGTAATACAAATAGATTAATAATAATTTTGTAATATCTAAAAACACCCAGAAACTTCATTTACCATGTCAGCTAATATAAATAAATCTATGTGAACATCAGACTCACTGAGATAAAAAATCAAACAATTTGTTGTTGATAACTGACATTAAATAGCTCTTATTAAAGAGATCTAGTCCTAAAATTCACTGAAACGTTTTTACAGTGCTAGCAAACAAAAGACAGATAAGGTTCTTGGCCTGAAGAACTACTTGCATGGTTCAAAAAGAAAAAAATGTCTCTATCTGTTTTCATGAGAAACCGCTTTGAAGATATCAATATGTAATACAACAAGCTTTGTTAATTTCCTACCACTTTGTAACTCTGTATTGTCTGTACTGTTCTTTTGCTATTTTGTAAAAAGGTGTCTGTTAATGTTTTCCTTTTATTTTTAAAATAAAATTTTAAAAAAGAAAAAAAATGAAAGCCAGACATGGCGGAGCACACCTATAATCCCAGGTCTCAGGAGACTGAGGTAGAGGGATGGCAGCAAGTTGGACTACAGAGTGAGCTCAAGGTCAGCCTGAACTGCATAATGAAACCCTGTTTCGGGAAAAAAAAAAAGTAAGAGGTGTGATCAAACTATACAGTAAATGTTTAAATTTTTAAAAATTTATTACAGTAAAAGACACATTGCCATTAATCCCCTCAACATACTCCCACTGGCTTCAAACACACTTATTCCATGGTTCTTGCCAGTTTTTGAAGCAGGCCTGGAAGATCTCTCTCATGAGTGACTTTATTGGGTATGATCAAAACTATGGTGAATGCTTCTGCCAAGTGCCATCCAATGGAAAAGCAGGCTCGTAAAAACATGGCAGCATGCTTTCATCTACCTCATTCACTGCATCTGGTACCATGCAACTTCTTCTGGCTTTTCCCCAAAGTCAAAATGACTGAGAAAGGTAAACATTTTTGAAACAATTCAGGACATCAGGGCAGCCATAAGAGCACAACTAAAGACATTCACTAGCCAGGCATAGTGGTACATGCCTGGACTCCCAGCATTCAGGAAGCTGAAGCAGAAATATTGCCATAAGTCTGAGGGCATCCTGAACTCAGCCTGAATTACATAGGGGCACTCTGTCTCAAAAGAAAAAACACACACACACACACACACACACACACACACACACACGCGGAAGAAGACCTGCAGAACCACTTCAGAAAGTGACAAGAACAACAGGATATGTGTTCAAAAACATTAACTGTTTTTTTTTATCACACCATATAAACTAGTAGTTTCAAAATAATGCAATCAATAATATAAGCTGTAAACAGAAAATGACAATCTGGTGGAGAAAAATGCTTTTATGGGAACAGTCATTGTGGTTACAAGCATTTTTAGGTTTTGTTTTGCTTAGTTTTCACAGTACTGGGGATTGAACCCAAGGCCTCACACGTGCCAAGGAAGCGCTCTACCAGTGGGCTACATCCCCAACCCTGCTATAAACACTTCAAACAAGAAATGAAACCTATAAAAGAGGAGAGTTATGAAAGACTAGTTTCATTTTAAATTCATTACCACTAATTGGAAAACACTTCCTAGCAATCACATCCTTCCAAGCATTCACTCTTTAAGATAAGTCTTTACACCTTTTCACCATGTAAGTTCCCAGCATCTTCCCCCCAGCCTCATGCACAGCAGGCAATGATTTCCACTCATGAGCTCTCCACAGCACATCTACCAGCCCACCTGTGTAACCCACACACTCTGCCGCTTTCCCATCAGCAGAGATGAACGGTCCATGTTTCCAAGAGTGGCCACCTCTTCCACACTGCGTACCAGGTCCTGGTCCCACAGGCCCCTTCTCCCCCATATCATGGACATCTCTGTGCATGGGAGCATCTCCATTAACAACATGCTGCTGTGATTCCTCATGCAGCTATCCCTTGTTGTCTGTCCCTCTCCACTCAGCACAATGTTTCCACTTCCTTCCATTTCTAGAAAAATGCCTTTTTTTTTGGTACTGGGAATTGAACTCATGACCTCACACTTGCCAGCCAGGTGCTGTGCTGCTGAGCTACAACCCTGGCCCCTAAAAATGCCTTTAAAGAAATGTCTGTAGCTCTATGCTCTGTTCTCTCTTAACCTCCTCCATCAAGCTTTTGTCCCAGCCACTATCCAGCAACAACAGCTTATTTTAAGATTCCCAGGAACCTGCACTTTGGCCTCAGTCAACTCCCCATTTTCAGCTTACCCAGCCATCTGGAGCACTTGACACCACTGATGCCTCTCACCACAATCTTTCCATTTGCCCTTAAAGATACTAATTGCCTTGATGCTCACCTCACTTCCATTTACCATGCCACTTGCTCTTTCTCGGTCTCCTTTGCTAGTGGCTCCTCTACTTGCTCAAGGGCCCAGGGCTCGTGTCCTTCTCTGCACTCATTCCCTGTGCAATTTCTTCTGTTTCAGAATCTAAACGGCACTATGCTAATGACTACTACACTTCTGTCTCCATCATAAGCTCTCCTCTGAACTCCTGCACCTTATCCAACCTGCTGCCCACCCAGCACCTCCACCAGACATCCCATAGGCACATACACAGAGCAGTTGGTATAGCAGGCCTCCAACTATTCACCTTTTCCAAAGCCTGCAAATACAGTGGGCCTTGGCTGGCATCTATGAATTTCAGTTTCAGGAAGTCTGCAAACATTCCTTCATAACAAGGGCTCATGGTGCCAAAAGTGTTTACATAAACAATGCAGTTGGTGATAACTGCTTTTCTTCTGAAGTCTGCAATTTTGGCATATGCTAGGCAGAGGGAGGCTACATGACCAGGTCTCCTTGGAGAAATGGCTGAGTCCAGGTCTAAGGCAAGGAATATGTAAGATGAAACTGAAACTCCTCATCAAACAAGAGGCAAGAAAACTATTTTTTATTTGTATTTATTTATTTTGGTACCAGGAATTGAACTCAGGACCTCGCACTTGCCAGGCAGGTGCTCTGCCACTGAGCTATATCCCTGGCCCCTAAGAGAACTATTTTTTAAAAAACACTATTAAGATTGTATCAGAAGAAGTCAGGGGCTAACTTGAAGATGGTCCCACTGACTAAAGTCAGACAATTTAAGCATCAATAAGGAAAATAAGTGTAGTGGATTAGATCCTATCAAATACAGTACACTTAAATCTATTAGTAAATAGAGATAAATAAAGCAAACTCAACAGTCACCTTCGGAAGATAGTAAGGGTCTAATGGTTTTTAAAGCTGATGAATAAAAAAATGTATCCTTTTTATAATTACAGAAACTCAAGATGACCAACTTGATGAGAGAAATCTCTTTACAGAGGTATTCTGCTAATAACCAAGAAGGAGTGATAGACACCATCATTTTGCAACTTCCAATGAATAAGTGGATCTTTCAGCAAATGATCAATGGCTGCTAACGTGCCAAAGATAGATGTTATAAGGGACAGTGCAGGGAACCTGGCAATTACAGTGTGTGCACCTTACTTAGATATGGACTTAAACAACCAAATGTAAAAATGTTATAATTGGAAAAACAGAAACCTTATCTGATTTTTGATAACATGAAGAGATTGCCATTAATTTTTAGTAGGATACTGTTTGTGTGTTTTTCTTTTTGAACAGGGTCTCACTATGTAGTCTAGGCTGGCCCTGAACTCACTATGCAGCTCAGGCTGGCCTTAAACTCATGGCGATTCTCCTCAGCCTCACAAGTGCTAGCTGGGATTGCAGGTGTGTGTCACTATACCTGGCAAGAGGCAGTTTTTGAAACTGTGTTTCAAAGAGTTTAAGTGCTACAGATACATAAGAAGTGTTTGCAGAGAGAATGCTGGGACAGCCCAGGCTTCCTCAGAATAAAGATACTGGCCACGAGTTGGCAACTGTTGAGGCAGGGTGATAAGATACAGGACTGCGCTAATGCCTTCACTTTGGTATGTGTGAGAAATACCCTGTAAAGCAAGCCTTTTGTTTCTTGGGAGGGGGGGTATACAGAAGAAGTCTTTTGTTTCTTATTAAGAAAACCCTGCTTCCTACCTACAGGATTGGAAAGGTAAACTGTATCCATACTCAAGTTCCCGGGCTCCCAAGGCTGGAAGAGTTCATGAACAAACCACTCTGAAGAACAATTTGGCAAACAGTAAAACTGAGGACACACACACCAGATGGCATAGCAACTGCTCTTCCAAGTTTCTGCCCTGGTGAGCTCATGCATACACACACAAGGAAACAAGTACAAAAGTCATCATCAGAGACTTAAAGAGCAGTAATTTTTTTTTTCATGTGGAACATTTTTATTCCTAACTTATACTCTGCAAGATATTTGACAACATATAAAGAATACCCAGTTTTAGGTGCTGATTGTTTTGTATTATGATTTGGTTACAAACTGTTACCACATAATAAGAACTACCTTTTTAAAAAAATTAGCATTGGTCCTTATAAAGGCCAGGAGGGTGACTTCTTGCTCCTAGAGCTGTAACTGCTAACTGAAATCTGACTGCAAAGCTACTTCTAGTCAGATATGGTCATTCTGAAGCACAACAGTCTAATCAGATTGGCAGGCTGCAGTGGGAGACCAACGCAGCCTCCCAGTTATATCTTCCTAGCTGTATTGCCCTGTACAGCGGGGGCACCAGGTCATCTCATATGCCAAACATGGTTCCCTGGAAAAACAAGGTTAAAAAAAAAAAAAAGAAAAAAAGGAAGAAAAGGTAAAAGCAATAAATTAAGAACAACCTAAAAGCAGCTGGTGAAGAAGAGCACAGATAAAGCACAAAATATTTGAAGAGGTAATATTATATGGCAGCAAAAATAAGTGAACAAGAACTACCTGTCCCCACAGACGCATCTTACAGACATAACTTTAAGTTTAAAAAGTACAGCTTTGAAATTATGTGACTTAGGGTACCAATATTTCAAATTTTCAAATATGCTTGAGAATAAAACAACAAATGTATGATTGCAATTACCTTTGGTGGGGAGGGAT